CTAATGTGTCATCATGTCTAATTCGTCAGCATCATCATTACCTTTAATTTTTATCTCTATATTATTATTATTATTATTATTATTATTATTACCACCTCTATTTAATTACTATCATTATCTCTAATGTGTCATCATGTCTAATTCGTCAGCATCATCATTACCTTTAATTTTTATCTCTATATTATTATTATTATTATTATTATTATTATTATTATTATTATTATTACCACCTCTATTTAATTACTATCATTATCTCTAATGTGTCATCATGTCTAATTCGTCAGCATCATCATTACCTTTAATTTTTATCTCTATATTATTATTATTATCATTATTATTACCACTTCTATTTAATTACTATCATGATCTCTAATGTGTCATTATGTCTAATTTATCAGCATCATTAACTTTAATTTTTATCTCTATATTATTATTATTATTATTATTATTATTATATTACCACTTCTATTTAATTACTACCCTTATCTCTGTTTCATCGTGTCTAATTTATCAACATCATTAATTTTTTTCTATATTATTATTATTATTTCTATTTAATTTCTATCATTATCTCTAATGTCATCACGTCTAATTTATCAGCATCATTATTACCTTTAATTTTTTATCTCTACATTATTATTATTATTATTATTATTATTATTATTATTATTATTATTACCTCTATTTAATTACTGCCCTTCTCTCTAATGTGTCATGTCTAATTTATCAGCATCATTACCTTTATTTATCTCTTTATTATTATTATTATTATTATTATTATTATTATTATTATTACCACCTCTATTTAATTACTATCATTATTTCTAATTTGTCATCATGTCTAATTTATCAGCATCATTATTACCTTTAATTTTTTATCTCTATATTATTATTATTATTATTATTATTATTATTATTATTATTATTATCTCGAAATCTAGTACTAATTACGTAACTGCATTATGCCAGGAACGTACGCACCCTGCTTTCCCTATGTTCATTCCTTATTTGTGACTGAGATATTCCGTGAAATGTGCTGGGAATGATAGGGGACGGGTCTCCTCGGATTCCCTGGCGCTGAGCCGCAATGGGACACCATTTCTCCTCCATTACCTAGCCTTTGGACCCGGGAGATATAGCTAGACCGTAATGACAATGCCCTGCTATCAATACATCCAATTACAGCATCTGTTTTGCATACATTTGCACTCAAGAGAGACCCACTCAAAGCCTTCCGAGCAGACGCTAAGCAGTGCCGGGGGAATCTCATTAGTTGAGAATGATTTGGACTACATAACAAACTTAAACAAAGAAAATTAGAGGGAGAATATGAGACGGAGGAGATATTTTAACCACACTGGCAGGACTAATATACGAGGGTTGAATGACAAGTAATGCCTCCACCTTCATTATTTGGGTTTGGATGGGAATATTTTAATAAATCAAACGCAGAAATAATCCTTAGAGTGTGCTCTTTGACGACCACTATTCACTTTCCCACATAATCACCAGACAATTGGATACGTTTCTGCCAACAATGAAGCCGTTACAGAAGAAGTCGACACTCTGTTTCCCCAGCAAGCGTCTCTCTGAGTCTACTGAACAAGCCAGTACCTGCCACATACCAGTACTGCCATCTGTTGAGGAGTTATGAAGGTGGAGGCATTAGTTTTCACTTTAACAACTCAGATGTGCTGCTGGTCAGGCAGGGAGCTCTGAAAAACCCACTGTGAGCACAATTGAGTAATAGAAATTGAGATAGATTGATAGAATAGCAACTGAATAATTAAGCTATTGAGTTATAGATAGACATTGAGTTATTAAGAAAGGCAACGGAGATAAAAAGAAGCTTATTGATATACTATAGTTATTGAAGAAAGCTATTGGAGAGAAAAGAGCCTCTGATGTGCTGCTGGTCAGGCAGGGAGCTCTGAAAACCCCATTGTGAGTACAATTGAGTAATAGAAATTGAGATAGATAGATAGATAGAATAGCAACTGAATAACTGAGCTATTGAGTTATAGATAGACATTGAGTTATTAAGAAAGGCAACGGAGATAAAGAGAAGCTTATTGAGATACTATACTCCAGTGGTTCTCAACCTTCCGAATGCCGCAACCCCTTAATAGAGTTCCTCAGGTTGTGTTGATCCCCAACCATAACATTGTTTTCGTTGCTGCTTCATAACTGTGATTTTGCTACTGTTCTGAATCGTAATGTCATTATCTGATATGCGGGATAGATTATCATTCACTGGACCAAATTGGGCACAAATACCTGATACATCCAAATTTGGGAGTTGTAGTTGCTGGGATTTATAGTTCACCTACAATCAAAGAGCATTCAATACTCCCACAATGATGGAATTGAACGAATCTTGGCACACATGACTTCCATGAGCAACAGAAAATACTGTAAGGGTTTGGTGGGCATTGACCTTGAGTTTGGGAGTTGTAGTTCACCTACATCCAGAAAGCACTGTGGACTCAGACAATGATGGATCTGGACCAAACTTGGCACAAATACTCAATATGAACTAACAGGAACACTGGTGGAGTTTGCAGGAAACAGGCCTTGGCATTTGGGAGTAGTAGTTGTTGGGATTTATAGTTCACCTACAATCAAAGATTATTCTGAACCGTACTTTACTTTACTTACTTAGGCAATCCCTCGCTTTCCGAGGATGATTGTCTTCCAATATTTTTGTGGGTCCGTATGTGGCTGTGGAGCCCTATTCTTGCTCTGCATCTTCTTCCGCAGTGAGGGCATTGGTTTCCAGGTGGAAGGCGGTCTCGGCCGGGGTTGGCTTGACGCGCCTTCCTCTTGGCACGTTTCTCTTTTTCACCCTCCACTCGTGCCTCCTCAAATTCTGCAGCACTGCTGGTCACAGCTGACCTCCAGCTGGAGCGGTCAAGGGCCAGGGCTTCCCAGTTCTCAGTGTCTATGCCAGAGTTTTTAAGGTTGGCTTTGAGCCCATCTTTAAATCTCTTTTCCTGTCCTCCAACATTCCGTTTTCCGTTCTTGAGTTCGGAGTAGAGCAACTGCTTTGGGAGACGGTGGTCGGGCATCCGGACAACATGGCCGGTCCAGCGGAGTTGGTGGCGGAGGACCATCGCTTCAATGCTGGTGGTCTTTGCTTCTTCCAGCACGCTGACGTTTGTCCGCTTGTCTTCCCAAGAGATTTGCAGGCTTTTCCGGAGGCAGCGCTGATGGAATCGTTCCAGGAGTTGCATGTGACGTCTGTAGACAGTCCACGTCTCACAGGCATAGAGCAGGGTTGGGAGGACAATAGCTTTTATAGACAAGCACCTTGGTATCCCTACGGATGTCCCGGTCCTCAAACACTCTCTGCTTCATTCTGGAAAATGCTGCACTCGCAGAGCTCAGGCGGTGTTGTATTTCGGCGTCGATGTTGACTTTGGTGGAGAGGTGGCTGCCAAGGAGCGGAAATGATCAACATTTTCTAATGTTACACCATTAAGCTGTATCACTGGCATTGGAGAGGGGATGGCTGGTGCCTGCTGGAAAAGCACCTTGGTTTTTCTGAACCGTACCAACAATAGAATTGGGCCAAACTTCTCACACAGAATCCTCACAACCAACAGAAAATACTGTTTTCTGATGGTCTTTGTTGACCCCTCTGACACCCCCTCATGACCCCCCCAGGGGTCCCGACCCCCAGGTTGAGAAACACTGCTATAGTCATTGAAGAAAGCAATTGAGTTATAGAGAGAGAGATATTAAGATATTGAGATAGTAATTGAGAAATAGAGAGAAATAGCTATTGAGTACTATTGAGCATTACTTCATCTCCAAAACTGACCTTGTGCTTAGATAGGGAAAAACCTGTTTTTTCTAACCATAGCAGCTCAGGGTTAGGGTGAAATACCTCAGGATTTTTTCTACCATTTGGAGAAAGGTTACCTCAGTAACTGAAGAAAAAATGGAAAGAAAGAACATCTCTATGGTTTCCCAAATTGACTGTTTGTGTTGTAACTTTATCAAGCTGTGCCAAGGACTTTGGAAATAAACATTTTGTTGATATTCATATCTTGACTGGCATCAGTTATTATTGAGTTATTATTATTATTATTGAAAATGCTATATGTTTATGTTTTATTTTAATTGCTTGTATTGTTGTGTTCGGGCTCGGCCTCATGTAAGCTGCGCCGAGTCCCTTGGGGAGATGGTAGCAGGGTACAAATAAAGTGTTATTATTATTCTTTATTATTATTATTATTGCTTCAAAGAAAGACTCCCAGCAGTTCACCCAGATAAAGAGAGAAGCACATCTTAGTTTTAACGTTACAGCGTCTGGGTGTGACAGCACAATCTATATATATATAAAAATGCTCTGTGCGTCATGAGTACCTTAAAAACAAAAGAACCAATGAATGAAATCACACCAAATTTGGCAACAAAACGTCTCACAACACAAGGAGTGACCATCACTCAAAAATTACGATTTTGTCATTTGGGAGTTGTAGTTGCTGGGATTTATAGTTCACCTACAATCAAAGAGCATTCTGAACTCCATCAATGATGGAATTGAACCAAACTTGGCACACAGAACTCCCATGACCAACAGAAAATACTGGAAGGGTTTGGTGGGCATTGACCTTGAGTTTGGGAGTTGTAGTTCACCTACATCCAGAGAGCACTGTGGACTCAAACAATGATGGATCTGGACCAAACTCTACATGAATACTCAATATGCCCAAATGTGAACACTGGTGGAGTTTGGGGAACATAGACTCTTAACATTTGGGAGTTGTTGCTGGGATTTATAGTTCACCTACAATCAAGAAGCATTCAGAACCCCACCAGCGATAGAATTGGGCCAAACCTCCCACACAGAACCCCCATGTGGTCCACAGCAACGTGTGGCAGGGGATGGCTAGTTATTATTATTATTTGGACAAAAATGAAAAAAACAATGAGGTTTGAGACACCTGCTCCTGACATGCGTGAACACCTTTGGCGAAAGTCCAAGGCCCAGGCATAGGAATCATAGAAATCTTTATTAATTTTTATTAATATACAACACAATACGTTCGACATCGGAAACGCAAACGATGCCGAGGGCAGCACTGCCCATCAGTGAGGCCTGATTATACAAAATCAAGCGTACAGTACTTACAAAATATATTTTAATAGAGGAATATATTTAATAGAGGGATATTTGCGACTAGCATTCTGATCTAAAGTCTGGCAGAATCGTTTTCGGACCATTGCTGACGATGTGAGCCTCCCAAAGCTCATTTGCTGGGAAGCGGTTGCGAGGAACAATCAAGCTTCCTGATCAGCGTGACATCAACAGTAATGGTTGTTTATCACTCTGCTGAGACCAGGTTATGCATTTGCAACGGCCCGGCAAGGTGAAAACGGAAAGATAAGAAGACCTAACGCAAATCAACACAACAGAAGAGAGTACACAAGCTCTCTTCCTGCTTCGGCACATTAAGAGGGAGTTGTGGGGGCTTATATCATTGGAAGAACGGGCTTCCCTTCAAGAGATCCCCGGCAGACTGGAAGCCGAGAAGCTCCCCGGAGAAGCTCTTGAGCTCCTTCTGCAAGCGCTTCAAGGCGGGAGACGTTGGCTTCGTCTTGTAGGTGACCTCCGTCAAGAGTTTCTCCGCCAAGTAGTGGAGCCACAAGATGTTGCTGTGCGGGAAGTAGTCGGCCCACTCATTGCCGTTCTCCTCTCTCATTTGGCGGTAGACGTCGAACTGGTAGTCGCCTCGGCCTTGGAAGACCTCCTCGTCGGTGGAGAGGTCGCAGTAGACCGTCAGCCCGTCCCGCTCCAGCCGGGAGAAGGTGTAGTCAATGATGCTGACCAGGATGCCGCACGTGGGGAAAGCGAGCGTCTCGCCCTTCAACCTGACGCTCACTTCCTTCCGGGCGGTGCTCTTGACAAGCACGTTCCCCCAGTGGAGGTCGCGGTGCTCGAAGCGCAGAGCCTCCTCCGCCACGGCCAGCGAGGCCGCCACTTGTTGCAGGACGCTCTTCGCGGTGGCCACCGAGCCCAGCTTCCGCTTGCGCATGTTCTCCAAGTCGGTGCCTCCGTCCTCGAACTCCAGCACCATGAAGAGCTGGCGAGCCTCGAAAAAGTCCGGCCGGTCGTTCTCGGAGGTGCGGCGCCGGTGGAATTCGTCCCACGCGTCCAGGAGCGCCTCGGGGTAAGCGCCCTGCACGCAGTGGACGGAATGCAGCCGGATGAATCCCGACACCTGGTTCTCCTCCTCGCCATCCTCCGCCAAGAGGCTGAGCTCCTTGGAAATTATAATCTCCGGGAGAATCTCGCCAAAGGTCTTCTGGGGCTCGCCGTTGACCCTCTCGGCGCCTTCGATGGGGATGATCTTCAAGGCCACGGCTCCCCGCTCGCCCTCGGCCCGGAAGACTTCCCCAAAGACGCCTTCCCCGATTTTCTCGCACTTGCGCATCGTCCGGAGAGGGAGGCACTCTTCGAAGGAGATGGGCCCCTTCTGCTGGCATTCCCCGTACACCTTTTCCGCGTCCGTCGGCATCACTTGCGACACGGAGAACGGTGACAGCAGGACCATGGAGGAGGAAGGGCAAATTGAATAGCTCATCCTTTGGGTGAAAGGGCTCTGCGGGGTTTCGTTCCCATAAAGGCGGAAGGAGCCGCCCGCCCCGATGCTGCTGCCGATGAAACTCTCCGACTCGGAGAGGATTTTCTTCTTCTTATGGAAGGAGAAAGTGGCTCGGATCCTCCGCCACAGAGCGGAATTCTGAAACGAGGATTCGGGAGACAGAAATGACAACGCCAGGTTGTTGTTGTTGTCGTCATCCACTTGATTCTGCAGGGATTGCTCCACCTGCTGCTTCTTCTTTCCGTGCCGCTCTTTGGGTTTCTTTTGTTGACCCCACCGCTTGGAACTGAAACCACTGATACACGCCTTCCTCCCAGTTGTTGCTGTATTGCAAACGGGGGGCGCCCGACGGGTGCTCCTGGCAGGCAGGTTGCAGGGAGATCTGGGCCGGGAAGCATCTTCTATCTTCTCGGAATGGCAATCCAACACCCGCTCTTCATAACACTTGCTAGCCAACCAATTGGGAACGGCTTGATTGTCTAATACCACTATAGGCTGGAGAAGAGGGCTCTTCCCGTCAATCCTGCCCTCACCCAACTCTTCAGAGGAAGTGCTGCCCAGCTCAGTCGGTGCCTTCTTCATCCGCTGTCTCTTCTGGGCAAGAGGTGCGTGCTCTCTCGGCAAGGAAAGGGCAAGCTTGCCATCGCTGAATCGGGCCTGCAGCTGGCAAGCTCCCTTTGAAGGGCACGCCTCAGTCTTTAGTGGCACAGCCGTCGTTTGGTCTTGGACCGAAGCTACAAAGTCTTCCTGTTGCCCCGAGGACGCTGTCCCCCTGCCAGGCGTTGCTGTGGCCCAGTCTGGTGATCTGGAAAATAAAGTAATGAGAAAGTATTGGTAGCTAATATATGTCATTTCTTTATGTTTGTGGGCAAACAGTCCTTCTTGTTGTTTATTTGTCAGTGTTGATGTGGAGAGTGTCTGGTTTGCTCACTTGGGAACATGCAACATAGAATTGTCCCTCTTTAGGGGTCCCTTTCAAATCTATGATACTATATCTGTCATATACATATATGTGTGTGAATCATATATCTCTCTATATCTATGGCTGGATGGCTCTTTGTCAGGAGGGCTTTGATTATGTTTTCTCTATTTCTTTATCATGTTATTTAGTAACTGTTTTATTTTGTTATTTCATGTATTTTATTTTTGCTTCTTTGTATTTTATTTTGCTGTACTGGCCTCACGTTAGCTGCCCCAAGTCCCCTTTGGGGAGATGGTGGCGGGGTACAAATAAAGATTATTATTATTATTTGAAACACAACAAGATGAGTCCACAGCAGACACTCTGTTGGCTGTTGTATTGGATCACACATCAGACTCTTCCTGTGTGATATATCAGCAAATAATGCGTGCAGATCCCAGTAAGGTGGCATTCTGCAGCTGGCAGATGGTAATCTTGTCAGCGCCGATTGTGTCTAAGTACAGGCCAAGGTCTTTAGGCACTGCACCCAGTGTGCCAATCACCACTGGGACCACTTGACTGGCTTGTGCCAGTGTCTTTGCAGTTCGATTTTTAAATCCTCATATCGTGTCAGCTTTTCATTATTATTATTATTATTGCCCTGGTGAAGGGAGTTGGACTGGATGGCCTTAAGGCAGCATTTTCCAACTTGGGAGTTGTGAAGGGGTATCAGAAGGGTCACCAAAGACCACCAGAAAACACAGTATTTTCTACTGGTCATGGGGGTTCTGTGTGGGAAATTTGGCCCTTATCTATCGGTGGTGAGGCTCAGAATGCTCTTTGATTGTAGGTGAACTATAAATCCCAGTAACTACAATTCCCAAATGTCAAGGTCTATTTCCCCAAACTCCCATCTGTGTTTATATTTGAGGACACTTTCCCCTTGCTCCAAATGTAATTCGGTTGCTCGGTGGGGTGGCTTTGAAACAATAAATCAGCTGCAGAGTCTTTCCCGTAGTACCTTGAGGGTTGTGACTGTGCAGAAGAGTCACTTTCGTCTTCCCGGCGCCTTGAGGACGTTTTCTCCTTACTCCAGATATCCTGAGGCTGCAGAGAGTTATTTTGAAATGGAGGATCGGCCAGAGAGTCATCCTGATGGTGCCTCGGGGACTGTGGCTGTGCAAAAGAATCACTTTGGTATTCCTGGTGCCTCAAGGATGTTTTCTCCTTCCTCCAAATGTCTTGAGGCTGTGCAGCTGCATCACTTCGGTCTTCCCGGTGCCTCAGGGATGGTTTTTCCTTCCTCCAAATGTCTCGAGGCTGCGCAGCTGAATCACTTTGGTATTCCCAGTTCCTCAGGGATGCCTTCTTGCTCCAAATGTCTCGAGGCTGCGCAGCTGAATCACTTTGGTCTTCCCAGTGTCTCAGGGATGCCTCCTCCTTGCTCCAAGTGTCACTAAGTTGCTCTGTGGAGCAGTGTTGGAATGGCGAATCAGCTACAGAGCCTTCCCATCGCCTCGAGGACGCTTCCCCTGTGCTCAGCAATGCAGAGGGATGACTGTGTTCTTGGGCATAGAGGGGTGCTTCTGCGCAACGGTCCTTCTCCTGCTTGCTCCGGATGTTTGCTCGCTTGGTGGGGTGACTCTGAAATGGCGGAGGGTCCTCTCGGTGGTGCCTTGAGGACTGTGGCCGCGTAGCTGAATCCCTTTGCTTTTGCGCTGAGGGATGACGTTCCCCGTAGAAGGGTGCTTCTGCACAAAGGTCCTTCTCCTGCTTGCTCCAGATGTCATTTGATGGAGTGGTGGAGTGACTCTGAAATGGTGGAGAGTCCTCTTGGTGGTGCCTTGAAGAGTATGGCTGCGTAGCAGAATCCTTTGGGGACACTTCTGCTGAGGGACGACGTTCCCTGTAGAAGGGTGCTTCTGCGCAAAGGTCCTTCTCGTTGTCTTCGTCCTCCTCGTCGAAGAAGGAGGAAGCCTCGCTGTCGTGGTCGGGAGGGCCGTCTTCCTTCTGGAAGCCGTAGAAGGCGTCCCAAAGGCCCGGCCCTTCTCCGGGAGGAGCCCTGGCCGCGGTTTGGGGCGTGCTGCAGAGGAGGGGGGCCTCTCCGTGGGCCGGAAGGGGCGAGGGAGGCCGCCTCGGCTGGGCCTTCCTCCGGAGAGTGATGTTCCTGCGCAAGGGTGTTGGTGGCACCAGGTTCTCCTTGGGGCCCTTCCCTTCCTCCTCCTCCTCCTCCTTCTTCCTGGGAGGCCTGGCCCTCTTCTTCCCCTTCCTGGGAGGCCTGGCTCTCTCTTTCCTCGTCCTCGGAGGCCTTCCCTTCCGCCTCTCCTTCTCTGGAGGCGGGAAATCCGGATCCTCGAAGGAGGCCCCTGCTGAGGAGGCGCTGGAGCTGAAGATCCGCTTCCGGTCTTCTCCCAGGTCTCCTCCTCCAAGGGAGGCCGGGGGGAACCACTCCAGGGCTGGACGGGCCCTCAAGCCTGGCCTACTCCCCTTCAGGCCCGTGTAGGTCCTCAGCAGCCGGGGACGCTCCATGTGGAGAGGGGATACGCAGCCCTTCTCGCCCTTCCTTCCGCCTCAAGCGCCCGCCGCCATTTCAAACAACCCCAACTCTCGCCCTCGCGAGAGCTCCGCCCTCAGCCAATCCGGAGGCGAGGACGGAAAGAGAGCGCGGCCAATCCAATATGGCTTCTCGAGACGTCACTTCCGGGTGCCGTTCGAAGCCCAATCACAGAGCTTATCTTTTCATCAGTCCATAGAGGAAAAGGTTTGCAGTGGCGAGTCTCAACTTCCGGTTCCAATTCGAAGCCTAATCAGGGTGATTCTCCGCTCAGCAGGTCATAGAGGAGAGAGTTTCGAGTGTACGAGCCTCAACTTCCGGTATCAATTCGAAGCCCAATCAGGATTACTTACTTAGGCGATCCCTCGTTTTCCGAGGATGATCAACTGGTTATAGAGGAGAGGGTTGCGAGTGTACGAATCTCAACTTCCGGTTCCAATTCGAAGCCCAATCAGAGTACTTCTCCACTCAACAGGTTATAAAGGATAGAGTTCCGAGTGTACAAGCCTCAACTTCCGGTTCCAATTCGAAGCCCAATCAGGGTGCTTCTCCGCTCAGCAGGTCATAGAGGGAAGGGTTTCGATTGTACGAGCCTTAACTTCCGGTTCCAATTCGAAGCCCAATCAGAGTACTTTCCCGCTCAACAGGTTATAGAGGAGAAAGTTTCGAGTGTACTTCAGAGGTATTTCTCTGCTCAGCAGGTCATAGAGGGAAAGGGTTTTGGGTATGCGAGCCTCAACTTCCGGTTCCAATTCGAAGCCCAATCAGGGTGATTCTCCGCTTAGTAGGTCATAGAGGAGAAGGTTTCGAGTGTACAAACCTTAACTTCTGGTTCCAATTCGAATCCCAGACTGCTGCCACGTCATAGAAGGGAGGGATTCCAGTATGCGAGCCTCAACTTCCGGTATCAATTCGAAGCCCAATCCGAATGCTTCTCCGCTCAGCAGGTTATAGAGGAGAGAGTTTCGAGTGTACGAATCTCAATTTCCGGTTCCAATTCGACGCCCAATCAGAGTACTTTCCCGCTCAGCAGGTCATAGACAGTTTCGAGTGTGCCAGCCTCAACTTCCGGATTCCATTCGAAGTCACTCTGATTGCATTCATAGCAGGCCGCTCCTCCATTCCTCCGCTTCTTTGCAAACTCCCGCGATACGCTCCGAGATTTGGGAATTCTTTCCCCTCCCGGGAGGCTTTCATTCTCATTCCGAATCCACAAATGGCAGTGGAGGGGGAGGGGGAGGAGTGCGAACTCCCGCGAGAACTGCGATATTTAATCTCGCGAGAGTGTGGGAAAGTGTTTCTAAACACTCCCCCCCGCCCTTTTGGTTTGCACTTTGACGTCACGCAGTTAAAGGGACAGTATCATAATAATAGCCAGAGGTGGGAGAAAGACCTCTTGTCTGTTGGAGGCAAGTGTGAATGTTGACATTGGCCACCTTGATTAGGATTGAATAGCCTTGCAGCTTCAAAGCCTGGCTGCTTCCTGCCTGGGGGGAATCCTTTGTTGGGAGGTGGGAGAAAGACCTCTTGTCTGTTGGAGGTAAATATGAATGCTGCCATTGGCCACCTTGCTTAGGATTGAATGGCCTTGCAGCTTCAAAGCCTGGCTGCTTCCTGCCTGGGGGGGATCCTTTGTTGGGAATGTCCAGGATGGGACAAAGAACTCTTGTCTGCTTGAGGCAAATGTGAATGTTGCAATTGGCCACCTTGATTAGGATGGATTAGCCTTGCAGCTTCAAAGCCTGGCTGCTTCCTGCCTGGGGAATCCTTTGTTGGGAGGTGGGAGAAAGACCTCTTGTCTGTTGGAGGTAAATATGAATGCTGCCATTGGCCACCTTGCTTAGGATTGAATGGCCTTGCAGCTTCAAAGCCTGGCTGCTTCCTGCCTGGGGGGAATCCTTTGTTGGGAGGTGGGAGAAAGACCTCTTGTCTGTTGGAGGTAAATATGAATGCTGCCATTGGCCACCTTGCTTAGGATTGAATGGCCTTGCAGCTTCAAAGCCTGGCTGCTTCCTGCCTGGGGGGAATCCTTTGTTGGGAGGTGGGAGAAAGACCTCTTGTCTGTTGGAGGTAAATATGAATGCTGCCATTGGCCACCTTGCTTAGGACTGAATGGCCTTGCAGCTTCAAAGCCTGGCTGCTTCCTGCCTTTGTTGGGAGGTGGGAGAAAGACCTCTTGTCTGTTGGAGGTAAATATGAATGCTGCCATTGGCCACCTTGCTTAGGATTGAATGGCCTTGCAGCTTCAAAGCCTGGCTGCTTCCTGCCTGGGGGGAATCCTTTGTTGGGAGGTGGGAGAAAGACCTCTTGTCTGTTGGAGGCAAATATGAATGCTGCCATTGGCCACCTTGATTAGGATTGAATAGCCTTGCAGCTTCAAAGCCTGGCTGCTTCCTGCCTGGGGGGAATCCTTTGTTGGGAGGTGGGAGAAAGACCTCTTGTCTGTTGGAGGCAAATATGAATGCTGCCATTGGCCACCTTGATTAGCACTGAATGGCCTTGCAGCTTCAAAGCCTAGCTGCTTCCTGCCTCTGGGAATCCTTTGTTGGGAGGTGGGAGAAAGACCTCTTGTCTGCTGAAAGAAAGTGTGAATGCTGCTATTGGCCACCTTGATTAGGATTGAATAGCCTTGAAGGTTCAAAGCCTGTCTGCTTCCAGCCTGGGAGAAAGACCTCTTGTCTGTTGGAGGCAAGTGTGAATGCTGCCATTGGCCACCTTGATTAGCACTGAATGATCTTGCAGCTTCAAAGCCTAGCTAGCTTCCAGCCTGGGGGAATATTTTGTTGGGAGGTGGGAGAAAGACCTCTTGTCTGTTGGAAGTAAATATGAACGCTGCCATTGGCCATCTTGATTAGCATTGAATGGCCTTGAAGCTAGTAGCCATTATTCCTTGTGTCAAGGAGGCATCTACCAGCACCTTCACCCACTTAAAGCACCCCCCACAGATGGCCATGCAGCCTTTATAATTTTTTTAATCGTGTCAGAAGCGACTTGAGAAACTGCAAGCCGCTTCTGTGTGAGAGAATTGGCAGTCTGCAGGGATGCAACAGCCCAGGGGACACCTGTGGGAGGCTTCTTTCATGGGAAGCTGGAGCTGACAGACAGGAGCTCACCCTGTCTTGCAGATTTGAACCGCCAACTTACAGGTCAGCAGTTCAGCCGGCACAAGGGTTTGTAACTCATTTCACCACCACGTCTCCCTTTAGCCTTTGCAATACATTGTAACAGGAATAGGATCAATCCTAGGGGCCACCCACTCCCTCCCTCTTTAATTGGCCAGACAGGAAAGGCACAATCAAAACACCCCAAACAGATGGCCGCCCACCTTTTACAATAATAAGACTAATACTAATAATAGGAGCAACCCTGGTCCAACCCCCTCCTGTCTTCAAATCACCCCCAGCAGATGGCCACCCAGCCTTCATAATAATAATAATAATAGGAGCAACCCCTTAATTCTGCTTTGCAGGAAAAGCCCAATCGAAGCGCCCCCAATGATGCCGATGGGAACTTTAGGAGGGTCTTCCCCAGGAGGAGGGACCCTGGGACCCCACCAAAGAGGGATCGCTATTTTGGCGAACTAGAGAAGCCTGATTTCAACCATTTTATTAAATTAAAAATTCGAAATAAACCTCACCAAAGTTGAAGAAGCGGCACCGAGGTGTTTTTATTAGCGATTCAGCTGAAAAGGATGCATTGTCGCAATCATTCGCCTACAGAGCATGCCAGTACAAAGATCAGAGACATTCTTATTGGGTTTACAGGCTTAGAAGTTTCAAAATCCCCACCCTCCGCCCGGCTCGCAGGTGATTGGCTGGCGCGATAACAGCTGGGAGGAGGTTCGGCCGCCCGCCCTGCGTCAGAGCCAGTCACAGAGCTCCTCCGCTGTGCAGGAACCAATGGGAGAGCTCCTACCGCCCCAGCGCTCTGGCGAATCAGGAGAGGGGAGGCGGGACGAAGTAGAAACAATGAGTGTATGAATGGATTAAGTGGATTTCATGCCTCGGGGATCCTGAGTCCACAAAAAGCAGCCTGCAAGGGATGCCCAGTCTATTGTCCTTAGATGGGTGGGCAATAAATAGCGATTACTTAATCCGAGTTTTCCTGTTGCCGTCAGATAAGGCACAATGAGAAAGGCTGGGGTGGATGTTTGTTATGATGAGTTTTGAATGAAGTAAACCAAGTTGGGGAAGGCGACCTCCCGAGAGTCGTCTTGCTCCCATTGTGAAATGATCAAAAAGTTTGCCAAAGGAAATTCCAGTTTGACGGTCCCAACTCCGAAATCAAATAGGAATTTCAAGTTCTATTGTCCATGCAAGAGTTCCAAGATATGGGATTTTTGTGATCGCTGATTGCCCTTTTCAGCGCCAAAGGAAGGGCAACTTCCTCGTTGGCTCCCCCTTCTCGAAGAGGGGAAGGGGGAAGGGGTTGGGTGCCAGGGCAAAAATAAGGAAAATACATGGGGAAATATAGGAATCCAAAGAAATTCATATTGTGGCGGTAGATAGGAGAAAATAAAATAATAAAGGGAAATCATAATAATTTAGAATAAAATAGAAGATTCATGTTCCTACCTGATCCAGGGAGTTAATTTACAAGCATGAGAAACCTGCAGATAATATTGATTGACACTGAACCATGGGTCAGGTTGTTCTAGCTGACCACCATGTCAGACTACACAGAGAAGCCATTGAAATCCACAAGCATGTAGACAATTTCAACAGAAAGGAAGAGACCATGAAAATGAACAAAATCTGGCTACCAGTATTAAAAAACTCTAAAATTACAACAGCAAAACAGCAGAGAGGAAACAACCAGGCACAGATTAACACCTCTCAACAGAACATTTTCCCAGGCTCAGCCAGGCCTTCAAATGCTAATGAAGGTGGTCAGCTGAAACATTCACACCTAGCTTCAGCAGAGAGCTTTTTGCCCCAACCCAGCCATTCCACAGATATATAACCCCATTTTCCTATTTCCAACAGACCTCACTACCTCTGAGGATGCTTGCAATAGATGCAGGCGAAACGTCAGGAAAAATGCCTCTAGAACATGGCCCTATAGCCCGAAAAAACCTACAAGAACCTTGTTCTAGCTGATGTTTGTTCTAGCCGATGTTTACATAGATAAGAAGTCAACAAGAGAAGTTTGGCAGGACAAAGAGATCAATAGTATCGATCCAAAACTTGGAACATCTAAGGTCATATGGTGAGAGAGCGCCATCCTCTGACTACTTAATGTAAATAGCATGCAATTTTAGAAGAGCTTCATCCTATTGTTTTTCCTTCATGATTATTCATATAAGTAATAAGTTATAATGAAGTTATTAAGGTTGAATTTAACTAAAAGGAGATTGCCTTGATCAAATCTTATGTTATAAGTATATATAAGTTATAATTCAATTAGAGATTTAAGCAATTGAACTTATACGTGTCATCTTAGGGTAACGGGTGAAGGTTGAGATAAGTTACATAATCAAGCAGATGTTTGGGTTCACAATATGGGTGCCAAGACTGATAAAGATGTCCTTGGCAACTATACATGGGAACACCTGTTAATGATTGTACTGTGTAAATGTCATATCCTTTCTGCGCATGTGTAAACAAGTGACTTTATGCTATAAAAACTGGAGCAATTGCGACTTCAAAGTTGTGACAGTCTTTTGGTCTGTACACCCTATCTTGCTTGATAGTAAAGGCCTGAGAATCGATTGCTGTCTCCGTTCTCTTCCTTCCTGACTGTACTCTAATGATCTCGGGTAACGTATATTCTGCAACAATATCAAGCATCCCTTCCCACCCCCTGCCTGCCAGAGAAATTGATTAAAATAATAATTTTAATAAAACACGTGTCCATAGTTCATACTGAGGAAGTTCAGGTGTGAAAATGAGTTCTTTAGAGCCAAAAAGAAATTGAAGAAAGTCCAACAGTCACAAAAGGGTGCTTGATGATCTCCACTGAGCCAAGGAATGGATTCTTGCAGCGCCAAGATCAAGCTGGTCCTTAGTCCTTGGGAAACTATAACTTCCTCCAAGGCCAGGCTCTTCCCTGAAAGCCTCATGGGGTCCTTGTTGTTGCTAGTGTCTTGGCAAATTGACCAAAACTTCACCCCTTTGTGCAGTCTGGTACCCTTGCCCTTTGCAGAACTATAAGTTACCATCCCTTATTTTGGGGGGGGGGGGGAGACATGCTCGACTTCACCAACCTTTTGAGAACCACTGCTCTTGCATAATGTTGTGATTTGCAGATAATTGTTCCTCCAGCGAATGAGATCCTTGCGCCGTTCAGCCTTTGGCAGGTTTCTCCTGAGTGTGAATGTGTGCAAAAGAGAATTGGATGTCTCTATCATGTCCCAGTTTGATTAACGTGTTGTATATTGATGTTCATGATGAGAATGGGGATGACGATCAGGTTCCTGGGCCAGGGTCTGTTGGGTTTGGGGATGAGGGGTCGCTTGGGCCTGAACTGAGCTCCGAAAGAGAGGTCTGAGCTGCTACAAAAGGACTCTCAAGGTCCCAGGCTTGGGAAAGGCCTTTCACCCCTGTTCCCTGAGCAGTTGTCTGAGAATGAAGCTGATTTTGAGTTAATGATGAGAGCAAGATCTTGTACAGAAAAAGAAGTTTCAGCAAACAGAGGCAGTTCGGGCAGGAATTAAGGCAATCAGCTCAGATTCAACAGAAGAAAGATGACAAACCAAAGCTAAAAAAGAATGCGTTCTTTGCTGTTTTGGAGTAGAAAAAGAAGTTTTAGTAAACAGAGGCAGTTCAGGCAGGAATTAAGGAGATAAGCTCAGATTCAACATAAGAAAAATGACAAACCAAAGCTAAAAAAGAACGTGTTCTTTGCTGTTTTGGAGTCAGGGAAGGGCTTATTATGATTCATGGGGGAGACAATTGCCTCAGTTGAGACAACGTCGGGATAACGCCAAGTTCTTGTTTCCTTTGCTCTTGAGTTTCATGTACCAAGGTTTACCAAGCCTATGGGATTTGCTTTCTGTTGCTTCAGTTGCCTAGTTTAATAGATTTCTCTTGACTCTTTGTTCCTGTTTTCCTTTGTAGTTGATGGACTAAATTGGATTTTGAATTTTTACTATTGATTACTTCTTACATATATTCTTCACAACTTGAGAGGTATACCTGTCCTAGAAGATTATATCAATAATGATTTTTCTTGTCGTGGTTGGATTGTTGGTTGAAAGGAACCCAATCCCCGAAGCCTTATGTCCTCATCTTATTGTCTATTCCATCTTCCTCTCTCATTGACTAATAGCACGCAATGGGATTCCCTCATCTTCCTCCTCAGACGTCGTAGGTCGTGTCTCTGTCCGGGATGACATCCAGCTCCAAATGCTGTCCTCTGGAACAACAAAGAGAGAAGGGTCAGTATAGGCTCCACAGTGACCGCCAATGCAATAATTGTGAAGGAGTGTGATGTGTGGGTTGGTAAATAAAATTGTATGATGTTTCGACTGAATTAAAATTGTATGATTGGGGTCTGGCGAGGACTGAAGACACCATCCGAAGAAGACTGACATTATGGAGGAGAAGAAAAGTGCTCATTGATGGAGGGAGACATGGTTGACATAAACGGATCTGGTGTAAACAAGTTTACATGACCAGAGACCATTGATCTTTAAGTTAAAGGAAGTCAACACTCAATGGTCCCTTGCGTTAAGGAGGAAAACCAACATTAGTTTAAAAAACACTCGTTAGACATGAATGGAGTTTCAGCAAGTTTTAGCTGAAAAACAAGCTGTCAATCAATTTAGAGCAACAGCAAAAAAAGCTACATAAAGATACTCTTTTCTCTCAGAAAAGTGTGTTGAAACGATGTTGTTACAAGATTATGGACAACATCTCAAGAAGCTGATCAATTTAATGAAAAAGGACGGTGAGTATGAATGAGTGAAAGAATGGATTATGAGTGAATGTTAGAGCATATGTGAAAGACAATGAGTGTGGAATGAGTGAATGAATGGATTACGAGTTCATATGCGATGATGAACTGAATGAAGAAGGATGGTGAGTTTGAATGAGTTAATTAATGGATTACAAGTGAATGTTAGAATATATGCAATAATGAACTGAATGAAAGAGGACGGTGAGTATGAAAGGGTGAATGAATGGATTAGGAGTGAATGTTAGAATATATGTGATGATGGACTAAATGAAAAAGGATGGTGAGTATGAATGAGTAAATGAATGGATTCGGAGTGAATGTGAGAGTATGTGTGATGATGAACTGAATGAAGAAGGATTGTGAATACGAATGAGTGAATGAATGGATTCGGAGTGAATGTTAAAATATATGTGATGATGAATTGAATGAAGAAGGGATTGTGAGTACGAATGAGTGAATGAATGGTTCATGAGTGAATGTTAGAGTATATGTGATGATGAACTGAAAGAAGAAGGATGAGTTTGCATGAATTAATGAATGGATTACAAATGAATGTGAGAGTATGTGTGATGATGAACCGAATGAAAAAGGATTGTGAGTACGAATGAGTGAATGATTGGATTAGGAGTGAATGTGAGAGTATATGTGATGATGAACTGAACGAAGAAAGACAATGAGTGTAGAATGAGTGAATGAATGGATTAGGAGTGACTGTTAGAATATATGAGCTAGTGGATTATGAGTGAACATTACAGCATATGTGGTGATAAACTGAATGAAAAGGGATGGTGAGTATGAGTGAATGAATGGATTATGAGTGAATGTTAGAGTATGTGTGATGATGAACTGAATGAAGAAGGATTGTGAATATGAATGCGTGAATGAAAGGATTGTGAGTGAATGTTAGAATTTATGTGATGATGAACTGAATGAAGGATGGTGAGTGTGAATGAGTGAATGAATGGATTAGGAGTGAATGTTAGAATATATGTGATGATGGACTGAATGAAGAGGGATGGTGAGTGTGAATGAGTGAATGAATATATTAGGAGTGAATCAGAATTTATGTGATGATGGATTGAATGAAGAAGGATGGTGAGTATGACTGAATGAATGGATTATGAGTGAATGTTAGAGTATATGTGATGATGAACTGAATGAAGAAGGATGGTGAGTGTGAATGAGTGAGTGAATGGATTAGGAGTGAATGTGAGAGTATATGTGATGATGAACTAAATGAAGAAGGATGGTGAGTGTGAATGAGTGAGTGAATGGATTAGCAGTGAATGTTAGAATATATGTGATGATGGACTGAATGAAGAGGGATGGTGAGTGTGAATGAGTGAATGAATATATTAGGAGTGAATCAGAATTTATGTGATGATGGATTGAATGAAGAAGGATGGTGAGTATGACTGAATGAATGGATTATGAGTGAATGTTAGAGTATATGTGATGATGAACTGAATGAAGAAGGATGGTGAGTGTGAATGAGTGAGTGAATGGATTAGCAGTGAATGTTAGAATATATGTGATGATGGACTGAATGAAGAGGGATGGTGAGTGTGAATGAGTGAATGAATGGATTAGGAGTGAATGTGAGAGTATATGTGATGATGGACTGAATGAAGAAGGATGGTAAGTATGACTGAATGAATGGATTATGAGTGAATGTGAGAGTATGTGTGGTGATGAACTGAATGAAGAAGGATTGTGAATATGAATGAGTGAATGAATGGATTAGAAGTAAATGTGAGAGTATATGTGATGATGGACTGAATGAAGAAGGATGGTAAGTATAACTGAATGAATGGATTAGGAGTGAATGTGAGAGTATGTGTGGTGATTAACTGAATGAAGAAGGATGGTGAGTATGAATGAGTGAATGAATGGATTAGGAGTGAAGGTTAGAGCAGGGGTCCTCAAACTACGGCCCGGGAGCCGAATACGGCCCTCCAAGGTTATTTACCCGGCCCTCGCTCAGGGTCAACCTAAGTCTGAAACGACTTGAAAGCACACAACAACAACAACAACAACAACAATCCTATCTCATCAGCCGAAAGCAGACCCACACTTCCCAATTAAATACTAATAAGTTTATATTTATTAAAATTGCTCTTCATTTTAATTATTGTATTTTTCTAAAGTGTTTTTTGCACTACAAATAAGATACGTGCACTGTGCATAGGAATTCATTTTTTTCCCAAATTATAATCCGGCCTTCCAACAGTTGAGGAACTATGACCTGGCCCTCTGTTTAAAAGGTTTGTGGACGCCTGTGTTAGAGTATATGTGAATGTTTCCCCTCTTTTTGTCTGTGCTTCTGTCCCGTTGAAAATGAATTAAAGAACATTACAAAGGTTCAAAAAGTATTCATGACAGGAGAAGGCTACTGAGAGGAATATACACACTTTTTTCACTCGAAAACCCAGAATCGGTCGGGTCTTCTTTCAGGACGCCCAACTCTTTCTTCCAGTCTGCCCAGTTCAGTTCCTCCACTCTAAAACACAGAAGAAAACACGAGTATTAACATGAGCTGTGTGTTAATACGAATGCAATATACCACGTAGAGGGCAACGTTTGGCCCCCATATTGTTTTTGACAACAACTTCCATCATCCTGGATATTTATTTATTTATCGTGTCATCAGCAACCATACCATTATATTACAATTCTAACAGAGCAAAACAAACACACAGATTAAAAAGAAAAAGAAAAAGAAAAGAAAAAAAAACACACAGATTTTGCAAATTTGGTATTTGGTTAAATGTCCTTTGACCAGTATCTGGCCACTTGGAGTGCCTCTGGTGTTGCCGCAAGAAGGTCCTCCATTGTGCATGTGGCAGGGCTCAGGGTGCATTGCAGCAGGTGGTCAGTGGTTTGTTCTTCTCCGCACTCGCATGCCGAGGATTCCACCCTGTAGCCCCATTTTTTAAGATTGGCTCTGCATCTCGTGGTGCCAGAGCGCAGTCTGTTCAGCGCCTTCCAAGTCGCCCAGTCCTCTGTGTGCCCAGGGGGGAGTCTCTCATCTGGGTGCTGGGTTTGGGCCTGCCACTTTTGGACTCTCGCTTGCTGAGGTGTTCCAGCGAGTGTCTCTGTAGATCTAAGAAAACTATGTCTTGATTTAAGTCGTTGACGTGCTGGCTGATACCCAAACAGGGGATGAGCTGGAGATGTCTCTGCCTTGGTCCTTTCACTATTGGCTGCTACTTCCCGGCGGATGTCAGGTGGTGCAATACCGGCTAAGCAGTGTAATTTCTCCAGTGGTGTAGGGCGCAGACACCCTGTGATAATGCGGCATGTCTCATTAAGAGCCACATCTACTGTTTTAGTGTGGTGAGATGTGTTCCACACTGGGCATGCATACTCAGCAGCAGAGTAGCATAGCGCAAGGGCAGATGTCTTCACTGTGTCTGGTTGTGATCCCCAGGTTGTGCCAGTCAGCTTTCGTATGATATTGTTTCTAGCACCCACTTTTTGCTTGATGTTCAGGCAGTGCTTCTTGTAGGTCAGAGCATGGTCCAGAGTGACTCCCAGGTATTTGGGTGTGCTGCAATGCTCCAGTGGGATTCCTTCCCAGGTGATCCTCAGAGCTCGGGATGCTTCTCTGTTCTTAAGGTGAAAGGCACATGTCTGTGTTTTAGATGGATTAGGGATCAGCTGGTTTTCCCTGTAATAGGCAGTAAGAGCACCTAGAGCTTCGGAGAGCTTCTGTTCTACCATCTCAAAGCTCCCTGGATAGCTAGCCATGAGGCCTTAGCTTCTGGGAGCTGACTTCCAAGACATTTCCTCAAAATACTCGGAGAGAGTAAATCCAGCATTTCCAGCAGGTTTGTGCTGTTTCAACTGTAGATAGCGGCCTACATGTCATGTGCGATGGAGGAGTTTTAGTCAGAGGAGTTCAAAGGAGAGACTAAAGTTCAGACTAAAACCCAAAATGGACTCTCATTTATATTGGAGCCCACTTACCGGAAACACCACCGTTCATCTTTCTTTCCTTCTGAGCCGACGGAAACGAAACACCCAGCTCTTGGCGTCCTGTTACAGAACCAGAACCAGTTTTTCTCTATCTCCAGAATCGCAATCGCTCTCTGCAATGATACAAGGGACGAAAACAAGAATAGTTACGTCTCAGCCTCCAACATTTCAATCACTTCAGATTGGTCATGCCTTGACCACAACAAGGGTGTCTTGACTCGCCTGGAGCTTCCAGACGCTCTGGCTGAAGCCGGAGACGTTGGTGACGGTCTCGCTCATGAGCGCGATGAGCATATTGAGCAGGAGGATGTAAGTCAGGACCACGAAGAGAAGCAGCAGCAGCATCACAAGGTACTTGAATTTGACATCTTCGTGGAACTCCAGCTCTCCCATCCCAATGGTGAACTTGAAGAGCTCCAAGGATGTCGTGAGCAGGCCGGTGTACCGAACTTGGCCTCCTTTGTCATCGTCCGTTGAGACGGGATACACATTTTTGGCTGTTTCCTGGGGAGCCGTGAGGATGACGAGGGCTGGGAGGAGGAAACAAAATATTCAGTGGCCTCTTCTGCAAAACCACTCTGATGTCGAGCACCCCCCCCCCAAAAAAGGGATAGTGACTTATAGTTCTGCAAAGGGCAAGGGCACCAGATTACACAACAAGGGTTAAGTCTTGGTCACATTGTCAAGGCACTGACAACAACAAGGACCCCACGAGGCTTTTGGGAAATGGCTGGATCTTGGGACTTCTGCCCTTTGTGAGAGTTGTAGTTTCCAAAAGCATGAATCAGTTGCATAGGAATAATCCTATGGAATGGAATAATCCTCCTCTTTCATGAAAACTCTATGTAACATACCGCTTCCTAAATATTCTCTTTTGTTTCATCTGCCAGCCTTCCCAATGATCATGGACTCTCTGCCTGCATATCTTGGACTTCAGTACATACTATCTCCCTCATGAACTTTCCTCAAAGACCTTTTAAAACATTGGACTTCAGGCTTCTTCATGAAAATTAATTCTCTTATTAAATATACTTGGAATGTGGGACAAAGATGGGGTTTTGTTGTTATGAAATGCTCATGATTTGAATGTATGTATCTTGCTATGAAATATTGCCTTTCCCCTTTGCCTTTTGCCCTAGAAAATGTGACCCAGGACTGTTGAAATGCTTGAGGGAGAACCACCACCTCCCTTTCTTATTTGATTATTTCACCTCTGCATGGACAATAGCAAGCTGAAACTTCCTCTTGTTTGCTTTGTCTGGCAGGCAAGGAAGTTTATCTGGACACTTTGATTGAATCACAAAGGGCAGGGTTGATCCCCCCTGAGGTCCCCTGTCCCGATCCTGTTTGTTTTCCTTCACCAAAACCCATCAAGGGCAGGAAAACCTTTCTTAATGAAATCAACCTTTGCTGGACAAAACAATGCCCCTCTTCCGTCCTGCCTCCCTCTCCCTGATTTGCTAAGGAGCCAAAGAGGGAGGGAGTTTTGAAACTTTCAAACCTGTATTTTCTCTATAAAAATGCCAGTAAAATTCTGTATTGCTATGCTTGTAGTGGAACTATTCCTACAATGCATCCGATCTCAGCTGAATCGCTAATAAAACCTCGATGCCCCTTCTTCGCTTTGGCAAGAGTCTCATTTCAATTATTAATATTAAATAAAATTGCTGGAATCAGGCTTCTCTGAAGGCTTGCCAAGGTAGCGTTCCCTCTTTGGTGGGAACTAAGGGTCATCTCTCCTTGGAGTTGACCCCCCCCCCCCAAAGTCTAGTTCGACTTCAACTCCATCTTCCGTGGACAGTGTGGACGAGGGGTTGTATGTGGAATTAGAACCCAGCCAAGAACAGCAACACACAAAAGCAACAACTCCTTTTCCTACTGATCAACCGCAAGAGAGTTTGGGGGAAAAGACTGTGGAAGGGTTAATTATGCCTTCTTTTCTGGAACAGAAAAGAGAAAAATCTCAGCTAAGATATTTGTGCTCTCACGCGCTGGGCCTATAGCAGTTGGCTTTTGAACAGGACGTGCTCTTTGTGCCCAACGGGAAGCCAGGGTGCCTCGAGTGAGAGGCCCTAAGGATTTTCCTATACAAAGTCTTTAGAAGCTTGAAAGGTTTAACGAAGTCCTTTATTATTGCTTAAGTCTTCAACAAACAATCAAATACTTCTTAGATCTTCAACAAATTAAACAAATGCTCCAAGGCTTTGACTTAACTGGTGGCTTTCTTAATCTTGTCCACAAGGGACAGGCAACTGGCTTCGTGAACTGTTTCTTTTCTTTAAGAGGAAAACCCTTTTTAACCCCTCCTTGGGCAATCTACTTTCTAAACTTTGCTGGTGTGGGCTCTACTTCTACTGCTAAACGATTCCGGCCCAGTTTACCTGTCCGAACAGATTCTCACCTATGAACCATCAAGGCTATTAAGATCTTCCGGAGGGGGGCTGCTCTCGGTCCCACCACCCTCGCAATCACGGTTGGTGGGGACGAGGGACAGGGCCTTCTCGGTGGTGGCTCCCCAGCTTTGGAACTCCCTCCCACTAGAGATCAGATCTGCCCCCTCCCTCCTGACATTCAGGAAACTACTAAAGACCTGGCTCTGGAATGTGGCATTTGAGGACTGAACCTATAACCTCCTTCCTTGTGATGAACTATGATGAACTGTGACTACGAGTATGACTATGACTATGACTGGATTGACGACTTGGCTTAGGTAATTGTGATGCTGATGTTTTATTGTACTTTAGTGTACTATTTTAATATGTAATGACTTTGCACTTTGTTGTACTTATATATTATTGTACTTTCTTATATGCTGTAAACCGACCTGAGTCCCTCGTTGAGGTGAGAAGGCCGGTATAGAAAACTTCTAAATAAATAACTAAATAAATAAATACTTCCGGCTTCAAACTGCTTCTTGGATCCTGAGTAGACCTACCAGTCAAGGCTTTGTAGATTCTCCAGCTGGAGTCCTTTGGAACTGTTTTCCCCCGGAATTTCCCCCGGATGTTGTGAGAAACGAAGCTTCTCTACAGGTGGAGCTAACCCACGTCCTGTAGCTAAGCTTTCCAATGCAAGACTGACCTAAAATGGCTCCCTCTCCTCCCAGAGCCCTGGGGAAAGGGGCGGAACCAAAACCTAACAATGATTGATGGGTCATTGGCCCTATAATTGCAAACCAAGGGAAGCCACCTTACTGCAAAATGCATGGAACTTTGGAATACATGCAAAGACTCAAAGAAAGAAAAGGAAGTTGGAGCTTTTGGTACAGCCGTACCAGCACAACATTAAATCAGAATTGCTGAGAGAATGGCATTGAATAAGGATCATCTGTGAAACACTGACGACAATTCGATGCCGCAATATCACAGTATAACAACAACATAAAACCATAAATACACAATAGAGTAAAACAATAACATTACTTATACAGTCATATAGCCTTTCCCATTAGCATAACAATCATATGGTTCAGTTCAATGTCCAAAGTGCTGTTGTGCCTGCTAGCCAAAAGCCTGGTTCCCAAACCATGATTTCAGTTTTTTCCTAAAGGAAAGGAGGGAGGACGCTGATCTGATCTCGCTGGGGAGCGAATTCCACAAGCGGGGGGTCACCGCTGAGAAGGCCCTGTCCCTCATCCCCACCAGGCTGGTGGGACCAAGAGCGGGGCCTCCCCGGTGGATCTTAAACTACGAGGCAGAACGTAGTTTTGGATTTGATTAATATGGTCTCTCTTGGTCTTCCATTGTGACTATGGTTATCTTCCACTTGATGCTGTTGTTGTTTAATTTTTATGTTGATCATAAAGTTTTTTTAATGATCAATATAAAAATAGTTTATATTGTAAATAGTTTTTATTTTGACCAGAAAATTTTACTGAACCTTCCTTGTCAAAGCGAGTTGAGACTGACCTGTGGCGAATCCGAAAAGGAAGATGACATAAACCATCAGGAAATGGAGAAGATCCCTGAGAATGGCCTGGAAGGGAGAGCAGACAAAAAAAATAAATCAATCAATCCTTCTGCAATAACGTTTCGATTTATAAAGAGCTTTTAGGCCACCATCTCTCTCTCCCTCTACCTAGCGGAAAGATTTTAAGCAACATCAGCAGTGAGGATTTGGTGGTGTTGTATATCAGCCTACAAACCACTCTCAACACTTTCGCAGAAGCATACGAGAAGCTCGGCCCGTCATTGAACATCGAGAAAACCAAAGTGCTCTTCCAGCAGTCACCAGCCAACCCCTCTCCAATGCCAGAAATACAGCTTAATGTGTAACATTAGAAAACGTTGACCATTTCCGCTCCCTTGGCAGCCACCTCTCCACCAAAGTCAACATTGACACTGAAATACAACACCACCTGAGCTCTGCGAGTGCAGCATTATTCCGAATGAAGCAGAGAGTGTTTGAGGACCGGGACATCCGTAGGGAGACCAAGGTGCTTGTTTATTAAGCTGTTGTCCTCCCAATCTTGTTATATGCCTGCGAAACGTGGACTGTCTACAGACGTCACATGCAACTCCTGGAACGATTCCATCAGCGTTGCCTCTGAAAAATCCTGCAAATCTCTTCGGAAGACAAGCGGACAAATGTCAGCGTGGTGGAAGAAGCAAAGACCACCAGCATTGGAGTGATGGTCCTCCGCGATCAACTGCGCTGGACCGCACACGTTGTCCGGATGCCCGACCACCGTCTCCCAAAGCAGTTGCTCTACTCCGAACTCAAGAACAGAAAATGGAATATTGGTGGGCAGGAAAAGAGATTGAAAGATGGGCTCAAAACCAACCTTAAAGTCATCCCTCCTGTTCAAGGAGCTCCATTGGCTGCCATTCATCTACCGGACCCAATTCCAGGTGCAGGTTCTTACCTACAAAGCCCTGAACGGTTTGGGACCCACCTACCTGCGTGATCGCATCTCTATTTACGAACCCACATGATCCCTTCGATCATCCGGAGAGGCCCTGCTCTCGATCCCACCAGCATCGCAGGCGCGATTGGTGGGGATGAGAGAGAGGGCCTTTTCAGTGGTGGCCCCTCGACTCTGGAACTCACTCCCTAAAGACACAGACAGGCTCCAACTTTGGCAGTCTTCAGAGCCTTCCCGGAATAATGACCCATACCACTTTGTCCTCCAAAGCACTTGACATTTCTGTAAGTCTGTTTGTATGCCTTTCCACAAACACCAGTATCACCTTCCGTTCATGTTCCAGCATTGTTTCCAATTTTAACTCTACATTTGGCCTTCCCACTGTTTTTAATCATGTGCTGTTTTATTGATAATGTTGTGTATCTTATTGTCTATGTGTTTTTAATTGTTTGTACTGTGTTGTTTTTGGGCTCGGCCTCATGTAAGCCGCACCGAGTCCCTTGGGGAGATGGTAGCGGGATACAAATAAAGTGTTGTTATTATTATTATTACTATTATTAAAAACTCTGGCATAGACACTGAGAACTGGGAAGCCTGGGCCCTTGAGCGCTCCAGCTGGAGGTCAGCTGTGACCAGCAGTGCTGCAGGATTTGAAGCGGCACGAATGTAGGGCGAAAGAGAGAAACGTGCCAAGAGGAAAGTGCGTCAAGCCAACCCCGACCGGGACCGCCTTCCACCTGGAAACTACGGAAGGGAGAAGATGCAGATCAAGAATAGGACTCCACAGTCACCTACGGACCCACCGCCAGTACATTGATCTTGGAAGACAGTCCTACTCGTCAACGAGGGATCGCCTAAGTAAGTAAGTAATATCAGCCTGTTCAGCTTCTGATTGTATCTGATGTTGATGTTGCTATTCATGAAGGGAATGGGGATGATGTTCATGGTGATGTTCATGAAAGAAATGGGGATGTTGATCCGGTTCCTGGGCCTGGGTCTGTTGGATTTGGGGATGAGGGGTCACTTGGGCTTAACAGAAAGGCCTGAGTTGCTGCAAGAGGATTCTTAAGGTCCCTGGCTTGGGAATGGCCTTTCGCCACGGTTCCCTGAGCAGCTATGAAGCTGATTTTGATGTACTATGTACAGGAGTTAAAGACAGCGAGACCTTGAACATGAAAAGAAGTTTTAGTAAACAGAGGCAGTTTGGGCAGCAATTAAGAAGCTCAGCTCGGATTCAACAGAAGATAGATAATAAATCAAAGCTAAGAAAGAATGTGTTCCTTGCAGTTTTGTAGTCAAGGAATAGTTTATAATGATTTGTGGGAGATAATTGCTTCAGTTGAGGCAACGTCAGGATAACGCCAAGTTTCATGTACCTTATACTGATTCAGTTTCTTCTTTTATATTGGCAGGGATTTTCTGTGTGCTGTTAAACCTTTGTACTTTATATCGCAGGCAATGAAACACTCTTGTGTATAACCAAGTAACACAGTTTATTTATAACTTCTGGCTCCAATGCTTGGGGTTACATTTGTGTTTTGTTGCAATCTTGAGGCTTACATTCAGTATCATTTACTTGGTTAACTTTTCTGAATAAACTATCAATATTTCACATTCACAAACATGTTACTTGCTTTACACACTCTTGGCTGAATTATATTCTGAACTAAGGCAACACTAGCCTTCTTTATGTTCCTTAAAACTCGAGCTCTATTTAACTAACTGCTTCTCTATATCAGAAGTCTTTAACACATCTTCATAACTGCTTATTTCTATCAGGTACTCAAAAACCAACTCTCCTCTTCACACACAGATTCCTAACTGCCATTTTCAAACTCCCTCACTCTAACTGCCTCTTTCAGAACCTTGGCTCCGCCCCTTTGGAATGTTCAGCTCTGCTCTCCCCAACTGTCATTTTGGCCTAGCAGCCATTTCAAATCCTGGGCCTATACTAATCTGCATATGACCAATCAGCTTCACATATGCAAATGAATCCTATCTCTGCTGTTGCTACCCTGTCTGTGCCTATTCTTCCCTATCTGCCATATGTAAACATAGAGCTATACACCAAAACTTTAACATAGAGTAGCAATTTCACTACAGATAGGCTTTCTGTATTGCTCATGGATTCAAGTATCTAGTTTAATGGATTTCCTTTGACTCTTTGTTCCTGTCTTCCTTTGTGTCTGATGGACTAAATTGGATTACTTTTACTGTGGATTACTTTTTACTGCTTTGGCTACATATATTCTTAAATAAACTTTTGCTGATTTTTCCCAGCTGGTGTGGTCTTTGAGTTTAAAGTATGACAGGTGGGGTGAAGCCCGCTTCCCTCAATGACTCACCTTTTGTATCATGACGATGTAGATCCCCGTCTGCTGGAAACCACGCGTGTAATACAGCATGTTGACCCAGCCCAGCAGAAGAGAGAAAACCATCAACGGAACGTATTCTTCCAATCCAGAGAGGTAAGTTATCGCCGAAAGGAGCAAGGCCAGAGATTGCAAAAACCTGTAATAAGAAGGAGAAAGCTTCCTCTGAGAGCTTGGAAAAAGATGCTTTTCTGACACTGCAATAAGACACCACTTGCTTATCACAATAAACTGTAGTTTGTGTGAACCATGGTTTGTTGTTGCTCGTCTTTCCATTCAGTGCAAGAATAGTTTTACAGGCTAAGCAGTGTCCATTGCTAGAAGCGAACAGTATTAAGTGTTTTGCACTGAATAGCGTTCCTTGGAAGAAGAATGTTTTGCATTGACTAGGAAGTAAGAGAAAGAAAAGGAAGGAAGGAAGGAAGGAAGGAAGGAAGGAAGGAAGGAAGGGAGGGAAGAAGGAAGGATAGATAGAAAGAAGGTAGGAAGGAAAGAAGGGAAGAAGGAAGGATGGAAAGAAGGAAGGAAGGATGGGAGGAAGGAAAGAAGAAGGGAATGAAGTAAAGGAGGAAGTATGAAAAGAAGGAAGGAAGTGAAGGAGGGAAGGAAGGGAAGAAGGAGGAAAGGAAGTGAAGAAGGAAGGGTGGAAAGAAGGAAGGGAGGGAAGAAGGAGGGATGGAAAGAAGGAAGGGAGGGAAGAAGGAGGGAAGGAAGGGAAGAAGGAAGGGTGGAAAGTAGCAAGGAAGGAAGGGAAGAAGGAGGAAAGGAAGTGAAGAAGGAAGGGTGGAAAGAAGGAAGGAAGGGAAGAAGGAGGGAAGGAAGGAAGGGAAGAAGGGAAGAAGGAAGGATGAAGGAAGGAAGGTAAGAAGGAGGGAAGGAAGGGAAGAAGGAAGGGTGGAAAGTAGGAAGGAAGGGAGGAAGGGAAGAAGGGAGGATGAAGGAAGGAAGGGAAGAAGGAAGGGTGGAAAGTAGGAAGGAAGGAAGGGAAGAAGGAAGGAAAGAAAGAAGGAAGGAAGGGAAGAAGGAGAGAAGGAAAGAAGGAATGATGGAAGGTAGGAAGGAATGAAATGAAGGAAGGAAGGAATAAGGAAGGAAGGAAAGGAAGAAAGAAGGATGGAAAGAAAGAAGGAAAGGAAGAAGGAGGAAAGGAAGGATGGATGGAAAGAAGGAGGGAAGGGAAGAAGGAGGGAAGGAAGGAATAAGGAAGGAAAGAAAGAAGGAAAGGAAGAGAAGTTTGGAACCTGCTTTTCTATTTTGTCCTGAAGAGAACTAGGGCTAAGGTAACGATGGAAAATACCAGCTAGGACAAAGAGGGCCTTGAAGTTGAAAAACTGCCAGCCAAAACAAAGAGGGAAAAATGCAAACGTTTTGCACTGAATAACATTCAGTCTTATAAGAGCAGCACTGGCTGAATAGCATTCATTGCAGGAAGGGTGATGGACTGCACTAAATAGCATTTATTGGGAAACAAGTGCCTCTGGTCATCAAATCAACATGTAAACAAACCAAAGTTAGAAAGTTGCTAAGAAACCATGGGTCATTATCAGAGGAAGGTTCACGCCTCACAACAAAATTTTGGTTTCTAAAAAGAGATTTATTTATTTTTTGCAAAGTGAGAGTGAGCTTTCAGATTCAGAATAACCTCGTACGAGATACAAATCACCCATTGAACTTACAAGAATATGTCGATGCAGCCATCCATCAGAAGGCTTTTCCATAACCGCCGTCTCCTCCATAAGTAAAGACTCTAAAAGGGAATGAACGAAATTAGCGTGAGAAGAGGGTAAGGTCCAGGCCCACCCCTTTGCTTCTTCTGCAGAATAAACGATTGCAATCGTAAGGATCTCCTCGTTTCTAGTCTTAACTGGGAGGCCTTGAGCATCAACACTACGGTCCAAAATATACCTGAGCCAAGAAGAGGTAGATGCCTCCAAAGAGGACAAGCAGCTCTCCAAGGAGCCGCAAAATATCCTCGAGCGTCGTCACTGGAAACGGGGGCTGAGAAAAGACAAAGAAGGCGAGAAAGTGAGACTCATTTGGTTTCGTAATATTTGTATTGATGGTGAAGAAGAAAAGGAAACAAACAAGGACGACAATGACTACAGATGATGCAAGGGAAGGGTAAAGAGAGAGAAGAGATGTGTTTAGGAAATATCCAGGGAAACGGCATCAACGTCGGGCCAGAGATGGGACTTTGAATGAGCTTTGGGAGCCCATTGGGAACCCCAAGCGCCAAGTCACGCTCTCTCGGCCTCTGAGCTTACCTTCCCATCCAGTGGCCGGTGGTAAGCGACGGCTGAAAAGACCGCCATGAACACCGTGTAGGAGAAGAAGCTGACGTAGAAGCGCCAGGCGGCAAAAGAGTCCCATTTGTGCTGCAGGAGCTTGTTCACCGGCTCCAGGACCACCATCTTGTACCGGTTCTGTGGGTTGGCAAAGGAGGGACGGAAGAGAACATCGATCCAAAAGCCATATAGCAGTCAACGCTTTAGAAACAGGCCCATCGCTGTGTGATTTACAACCGCAAAGTTTGTTCTATCTCATTGAAACTATGAGTGTTCCCTCGCTATTTCGCGGTTTGCTTATTGCGGAATCGCAATAAGTGAGTTCGCAATGGGCAGACCATCCCTACTTCACAGATTTTCACTTATTGCGGGTGGTCCTGGAATGGGCCAGAGGTTTAGCACAGCTGGTAAATCATCAGCAACTATAAGATCTATCAACCGAAAGGTTGCAAGTTCGAAGCCCCGGGTCGGCGTGAGCCATAAAGAAAAAGAAGATCAGAAAATGCTGGAATGTGGAAGTCCTGGCGGCTCTTCGTCATAGAGAATGGAGCGACAGCATCCCCGGTGGACTCGAGCCCAACTGTCCATGGCATCGAAACAACACCTCCTTCTGTGCTGTCTGTCTATATACAAATGGCATTGAATGTTTGCCATGTATGTGTACTGTGATCCGCCCTTCAGGGTGAGAAGGGCAGAGTATAAATAAAGTATTATTACTATTATTATTATTATTATTATATCTATTTCTGTCTATCAAAAGTCACAGTTTGTTTGTATATATGTATGTTCGTATATATACTTGTATGTATATATGTACATTTATACATGTATTTATATATGTATGTATATACATATGTTTTTATGTATATATATGTGTGTATATGTATATGTACACCTATGTAACCTATATACCTATATATATATATATATATATATATCCTGTATACATTAGACAGATAGATAGATAGATAGATAGACAGATAGACAATGTATAGAACCTATATATATATATATATATATATATATATATAAACCTGTACACATTAGATAGATAGATAGATAGATAGATAGACAATATATAGAACTTATATATATATATATATATATATATATATATATATATATATCCTGTATAATTAGATATTGAGAGAGAGAGATAGAAAGAAAGATAGACATATATGGAACCCATGTACTGTATCTGTATATATATAACCTGTAAACATATATAATAGTTGTGTGTGTGTGTTTGTGTGTGTGTGTGTGGAGAAAGAGATCCTATATTGCAATATCATAATAATAATACATTTCATTTATTATCCACTACTCCTGACGGCTTGAGGTGGGGTGTATATGCATGTATACATATGTAACCTATATGACGATACACACACACATATACATATATATATATGAATGGTATGCTCTCACCGGTGTGTCACTGCTGTAGGCGAGGATTTCCAGCACAGAGTTTTTCTCAAAGCTGTCGACGGAAGACAAATCGTAGAGCGAGACCTGGACCGGCCCGTAGGTCCATTCGGTGAACTTGCGCGAAAGGTGCCGGAACTCGGGGTCCGTGACTTCCCGTTGGATAATGTGCTTGAAGATCTACAGAAAGCGAAGCCAAAAAGTTGGGAGCCGACCCAAAAGTATTCGTGCATGATTAGGATTTACTTATGGGAGCAGATTTGAATTGGTTGCGACTCAATGATTAGATATTCATTGACAAACTAGAGCAAAATGTGTTTTTTGCAGCTGAATAAACTTTTCCCATATTTTTATAATGGAGCCAACTGGGAAATGACATTGATAACCCAGGAACAAAAAACGTAGTGTATCCAGGCTGTACCTCCACTTTCCCAGTCTTGACGGCCAGCTTCAGAGGGGTCATCCCTTCCTGGTTGACCATCTCCTCCAGCCTCCAGGAAGGGTCGATCCGGGTTCCTTCCCGCAGGAGGGCGTCGTACATCTGGACCACCATCTCCGTGTTCCTCTCCGTGTCATCTGCCACCATCACCAAGGCGTGGAGGACCGTGTTGCCCAAAGAGTCCTGTGCGGTCAGTTGGGCCTCCTGGTATGGATTGTGGAGGAGGAAGTGGATCACGTCCAGCTGGTTGGTGCAGGCTGCTAAGGAGAGGGGAAGCTCACCTGGAGAAGGAGGAAGGAAGGGAAGGGAAGGGAAGTAGAAGGGAAGGGAGGGGAGTAAGGGAGGGAGGGAGGGAGGGGAGGGGATGGGAGGGGAGGGAGGGGAGGGGAGGGAGGGAAGGAAGAGAAGGAGGAAGGAAAAAAAATTTAAATTTAACTGTGCAATTCTCTTTGTGCATTCAGAAGGAAGACCTCAAAGGAAAGAATTAGTTAATGAAATAGAATTACAGAATTAAGGAAGGAAGGGAAGAATGAGGTGGTAAGGACGAAATGTGAAGGAAGAAAAATGTAAGATAATAAGAAAAAAGAGGAAGGAAGAAGAAAGAAAAAAGGAAGAAGAAGAAAAAAGAAAAAGAAAGGAAGGAAGGAAGGAGGAAGGAAAGAAAGAAAGAAAAAAGGAAGGAAGGAAAGAAGGAGGAAGGAAGGAAGAAGAAAAAGGAAAAGAAATGAAAGGAAAAGAAAGAAAGAATTATGAAGGAATAAGGTTAGAATGGAAGTAAGTAAACAACATTTGTTTATGAAGTACAAACAAGAAAATAATGAGTTAAATAATGGGGCTGGTGAATTAAACAAAGTAATAAAAGAAATTGTAATAATAATGAAGGTAAAGTAGTGATTTGGAATTACGAAATGAATTTAATAATTCAATAATAAAGTAATCAACATTGCTTGAATTCACTTGAAGTGAACATCTAACTTTACAGAAACTGCTGAATCATAATTAATGTCATAATTAATGTCCACAGAGTATCATACACCTAAAACGCAACAGGAGTTACACATTTTTACTATGGACTCTCACAAAAATTCAACATACCAGCCATGGGGCAAAATCCAAAAGGAAGGATTAGAAGAAGGAAGGAAGGGAAGGGAAGGAAGAATGGAAGGAAGGGAAGATGGAAGGCAAGAACAAGGAAGAAGGAAGAAAAAAAGGAAGGAAGGAAAGAAAGAAGGGAAGTTTAGAACCTTCTTTTCTATTTTGTCCTGAAGAGAACTAGGGCTAAGGTAACAATGGAAAATACCAGTTGGACAAAGAGAGCCTTGAAGTGGAAAAAATACCAGCCAATACAGAGGGGGGGGGGGGAATGCAAAAGGTTCTGGCTTCATAACAAGAGGGAGAAGGGAGGGGGATTCAAGCTGAGGAAACAGGCACATAAATACTAATTAGAAGAGAACAAAGGAAGAGGAAAGTTACAAAAACTTTGCGCATGTTCAAAGGTGTTGGCTATAAAAACTAAACTGCACTCCAGTTCAATGTGGCACTCTCCACCCCGCAGAGTGACTTGATCAAGTAAACCTGTTGCAACGATCTCCTGCCTTCAGTAGGCAACGTACCAAAGTAGAAACAGGCCCCCTTTTTCTTCTGGTGGAAGAACTGACCACTGGCTTTTGCTTGGACATCGGCCCCATACTCCACCAGCAGCTGGACCAAGGCCAGGCTCCGTTTCTCGATGGCGATGTGGAGCGGTGTGTGGCCTGCGGAAAAGAGACAGCCATCATCCTCCTTTGCAGCCAAAACAAAGATGAATACAAGGCAGATACCTCTTGATGCATCACGATCCAATGCATGGAATACACATAGTAGATGAAGGAGCTCTAACAATGTGTGCCTGGTGACCACTATCTTGGCTGTTTTGTAAAATAGCAAACTTATATATATATTTTTTCCTTCGCTGTGAAACCAAAATCCTGTGGATACCACTGTATATTTTAATATTTCCATAGATGATTAAAGTTGCTTTTTAAGCTGGACAGTACAAATCTTTTCTATGTTGTATTTACTTTCATCTTACAAGCTGCCTGGAAATACAGTTCTGAGACAAAAAATTAAAAGGGGAATATTAAATATCTGTCTGTCTGTCTGTCTATCTATCTATCTATCTATCTATGTCTATCTATCTATCTACCTATCTTTCTATCATCTATCTACCTATCCTTTTATCTATCTATCTGTCCATCTATCTATCTGTTTATCTGTCTGTCTGTCTGTCTGTTTGTTTATCTATCTATCTATCTATCTATCTGTCTGTCTGTCTGTCTGTCTGTCTATCTATCTCTCTGTCTGTCTATCTATCTATCTTTCATCTATCTACCTATCCTTTTATCTGTCTATCTATCTGTCCATCTATCTATCTGTTTGTTTATCTGTCTGTCTGTCTGTCTGTTTGTTTATCTGTTTGTCTGTTTGTTTATCTGTCTATCTATCTGTCCATCTATCTATCTGTTTGTCTGTTTGTTTATCTGTCTATCTATCTATCTGTCCATCTATCTATCTGTTTGTCTGTTTGTCTGTTTGTCTATCTATCTATCTATCTATCTATCTATCTATCTATCTATCATCTATCATCTATCTACCTATCCTTTTATCTATCTATCTGTCCATCTATCTATCTATCTGTTTGTTTATCTATCTATCTATCTGTCTGTCTGTCTGTCTATCTATCATCTATCTGTTTATTTATCTATTTACCTGTCTATCCATCTATGTATCTGTTTGTTTATCTGTTTGTCTGTCCATCCCATGGCCTCAAAGTCACTTAACACAGGTAACAATATTATAATTAATGAACTCTGGTTGGCATTTTCTTCTTTTTCTCCTTTCCTTTTCTTCCCTCCCTTTTTCTTCTTTTTCTCTTTTTTCCCTTCCTTCCTTCCTTCCCTTTTTCCTTTCTCTCTTTCCCTTCCTCCCTTTTCCTTCTTCTCTTTCTATCTTTTTTTGCTTTCCTTCTTTCCTTTGCTTTCCTTGGTTCACATAATAATAATAATAATAATAATAATAATAATTATTATTATTATTATTATTATTATTATTATTATTATTATTATTATTATTATTATTATTATTATTTGTCGTGTCAGGAGCGTCCTGTTGTGAGAGAATTGGCCGTCTGCAAGGACGTTGCCCAAGGGACGCCCGGATGATTTTGATGTTTCTTATCATCCTTATGGGAGGCTTCTCTCATGTCCCCGCATGAGGAGCTGGAGCTGATAGAGGGAGCTCATCCGCCTCTCCCCGGATTTGAACCTGCGACCTGTCCGTCTTCAGTCCTGCCGGCACAGGGCTTTAACCCACTGCGCCACCGGGGGCTCCAGATTATTATTATTATTATTATTATTATTATTATTATTATTATTTGTACCCCGCCACCATCTCCCCCAACGGGGACTCGGGGCGGCTCACATGAGGCCAAGCCCAAACAACAAATTACAATAAAATACAACACAGATTACAATAAAATAAAATAGACAACCTTGCAATAAAGTACAAAGCATATAAATACGATAAGCAATATAATAATCACTTTATTTTTATACCCCGCCAACCATCTTTTCCATTGCTGGAAGCTTTCGTATCGGAACACTTTTGTGTTTTAAAGAAGGGATCCTAAGCATTCAGCAACTGCAATGGCAAAAAAAGGGGAAAGAGGACACTTTTGCTACTGCGCATCACATTCAGCTGCAAATACATTTGTTGGTTTCAAGGCTTTGAAAATGGAGTTGTGCCTTAGATCCGATGCTAATAGGTTCAAACATGAGTGTAAATGGGAGTACCTTCTTCCATGTTTTGTTGTGCTTGTTTCGGGGTCCAAACCGCCAAGGATCACCTGCATACCCTTGCCATCCTCACCTTTGTAGTAGCTGTCGGTGCAAGCGGTGTTGATGAGTGGCCGCGGGTTCTGCATCTCCCTGTCGATCTTCAGCAGCAAAGGGATGGTGGGGTTGTCCCCATCCTTCAGGTTCAGCAGGGCCTTCATCAAGCAGGTCTTGCCGGTTTTGCCATCTAGGAAGGAGGCAGGATATAGACAGAGTCATGGCGTTATTATTGCTTTGACCCGAGACATTTGGTGCCTGTTTACCTTGAAAATGCATACTTGAATTGATTGGTTAAACAGGAAATAACACTTTCAAACCAGGAACAGATTCGACAATTTTGAATCTCGCAATTGCAATATTTCAGGATTTTATTTATTTATTTATTTATTACTTCGCTTATATACCGCAATTCTCAGCCTAATGGCGACTCATTGCGGTGTACAACATGGAAAAACAAGTGCAAAAATACAACATACAAAAATAATACACAGTACATCATTATCAAAACATCTCATCAAAAACATCAATATAACTACAAGCCATTCCGAGTCGTCTCATCGTCAAGTTCACAATCCAATATCATTTCCGTTGTTCCATTCCTATGGTCGAGTTACCCGTCATTGCACTACTATTCAAATGCCTTCTCAAACAGCCAGGTCTTTAACTTCCTGCGGAATATCAACAGGGAGGGGGCTAGCCTGATGTCTACGGGAAAGGTGTTCCACAGCCGAGGAGCCACCACCGAGAAGGCCCTATCTCTCGTCCCCGCCAGCCGTGCCTGTGACGCAGGCGGGATCGAGAGCAGGGCCTCCCCGGAAGATCTCAAAGTCCTCGTGGGCTCATAGGCCGAGAGGCGGTCAGTTAGGTATCTTGGGCCGGAACCGTTTAGGGCTTTATAGGCCAATGCCAGCACCTTGAATTGAGCCCGGTAGCAGATCGGCAGCCAGTGGAGCTGGTACAGCAGGGGGGTTGTATGCTCCCTGTGCCCCGCTCCTGTTAGTATCATGGCTGCCGCACGTTGGACCAATTGGAGCTTCCGAGCCGTCTTCAAGGGCAACCCCACGTAGAGAGCGTTGCAGTAGTCTAAACGGGATGTAACCAGAGCGTGGACTACCGTGGCCAAGTCAGACTTCCCAATACGGGCGCAGCTGGCGCACGAGCCTAAGCTGTGCAAATGCTCCCCTGGTCACCGCCGAAACCTGGGGTTCCAGGTCAGCGATGAATCCAGGATCACACCCAAGCTGCGAACCTGCGCCTTCAAGGGGTAGCGTAGTTTTGAGGCTGCGTAGTTTTAGTAAAAATGAAAATAAAAGTTTTTTGGGTTTTTTTTGCAGAAGGTCAAAAATGGTAGCCTCTGGGTGCGATGGAGTCAGTGTGCATACCGTCTGAATCAGTCAGAAAACAACAACAACGGGATGCATCCTGATATAAACAGATGAGGTCCTACGACAACGTCATATTAAGAAAGAGCAAACTCACCCCGGTATTCTGAGTTGGTGAGGAATTTGGAGGTTCTTTGCAAGTATTCCTTCAGGCCGTCCAGCTCTTCAGGGATTCCCTTGACAATGGCATTGAAGAGACGCTCACGGGCGAATCGGTGGGGGTCCTTTGGGCTGCAGAAGAGACCCAGAATGAGCCGAGTCCTACATAAAGCCTTGCAGGGGCCGACTCCAAGTTACAAACATCTGGCTTGCAAACGACTCACAGTTAAGAATGGAGATGGACTGGATGAACTTTGGTGGTCCTTTCCACATCTATGCTTATATATCTCATATATATATATATAGGCTGTTCCCTGAGTTACAAACATATGGCTTACAAACAACTCCACACACACACACACAATGATTTGGAAGCATAAAGATGAATATGTATATCATTTGGTAGCAAAAGAAATTGGAAGCATATAAATTATTATATGATATATCTATACCTATATCTATAGTATTATTTGGAAATATATACAGTAGGATATATATCTATCTATATAGATATAGGTATAGGTATAGATATATCATATCATAATCTATATGTGTGTATGTGTATATATGTATATGTGTGTGTGTATATATATCTATATCTATACTATTATTTGGAAACATATACAGTAGGATATATATCTATCTATATAGATATAGATATAGGTATCGGTATAGATATAGGTATAGATATAGATATATCATATCATAATCTATATGTGTGTATGTGTATATCTATATCTATATCTATAGTATTATTTGGAAACATATACAGTAGGATATATATCTATCTATAATAGATATAGATATAGAGATATAGATATACACACACATACACACACATATATATATACATATATACACATACACACACATACACATAAACACACACATATATATATACACACAAATATATGTTTGGAAGCATAGATATGAGATTATAAGCCTACAGAAGATATAGATACACACACACATATACAAACATGCATAAAAATTATATATATATATATATATATATATATATATTCCTATATTCTCATCTCTATGCTTCCAAACGTATGTGTGTAAACATGTGTGTGTGTATATATATAGATAGATAGATATGATACACACACAAATACACAAACTATATGCTTCCAAATAATAGTAATATATAATTTTCATCTTCTATATGCTTACTACACACACAATTACATAGAGATTATATATGTGTGTGTGTGTGTGTGTATGAAGCATATAGAAGACGATAATGATGTATTGCTATTATTTGGAAGCATATAGTTTGTGCGTGTGTGTGTGTATATATGTGTGTGTATGTGTGTGTGTATATATATATATATACACACATATGATATACACACACAAATACACAAACTATATGCTTCCAAATAATAATAATATATCATTATCATCTTCTATATGCTTCCTACACACACACACACACACACACATATATGAAGCATATAGAAGATGATAATGATGTATTGCTATTATTTGGAAGCATATAGTTTGTGCGTGTGTGTGTGTGTGTGTGTGTTTGTGTAAGTGTGTGTGTGTGTATATATGTGTGTGTGTGTAAGCCTATAGATAATATATATATATACACACACACATACACACACCTATAGATTATTATATATGTATGTATGTATGTCTCTATATGTCTATTTATATATATATGTATATAAATAAAATTTGGAAGCCTATATATATATATATATATATATATATATATCTCACAATCATTTGGAAACCTATAGATGATACATATAATAGAGATTGGATGGATAGATTGGAAGCATATAGATGATGACGACATGTATATAATCATTTGGAAACATAGATGATGGTGGTGATGTGATGACGCCCCGCCTTGTGCTCTGGAGGGGTCCTTAAATCCCTTAGATTTGCCCTTTGACCCCAAGCCCTGACCTGACGAGCCCCGCGCGGTAGTAGAGGTTGACCCTGATCTGTGGGGCAGGGGGGGCCTCCTTCTGGAAAGGGGTCTCCAAGGGGCGGGGCCCCATCTCCTCTTCCTCCGAACCCCCTTCGGCCCGATTGATGGTCCCATCGTCCGTCTCCAGGACCAGCAGAGGGTCCTTCTGCATCCTCTGTCTTCTCGCCCAAGTCCCTGGCAAGGAGACAGAAGGGAAGAGAGGCCGCATGAGCATAGCTTTCCTTTCCACCTTAGTTCTGTCCAGGAATAATAATAATAATAATAATAATAATAATAATAATAATAATAATAATAATAATATGCTAGGTTTCGTTTCACAAAACCACAATGCAGCATATATATCCCGTTTGCTGTATCATACTGTGTTTTTGTGATACATCATAATATAATAATATTACGATACAATATAATATAATATAACAATATGATGATATAATATAATACAATAATATTACAATACTAGCCATCCCCTGCCACGCCTTGCTGTGGCCCAGTATGTGTATATCTGTTTTGTGTGTGTATATATGTGATTTTGTGCATGTGCTGTAATGTGTTTTTTAATTTTTTTGGCTTTCTAAGTCTCTACCGTTTTTCAGTGTTTTTATGAGTGATGGTCACTGATAGGTGTCTTGTGTCCAAATTTGGTGTCAATACGTCAAGTGGTTTTTGACTTATGTTAATCCCACAAACAAACATTACATTTTTATTTATATAGATGTAGTAAATATAGTATATAATACAGTATATTATATTATTAATTTTTTTATTATTATTATTATTACTAGCCGTCCCCTGCCACGTGTTGCTTTGGCCCAGTCTGTGTATATGTTTTGTGTGTGTATATATGTGTGTGTATATATTTGTGTATTTGTGTTGTATATATTTGTGTATTTGTGTGTTTATATGTGTACATGCATATTGTGCATATGTGTGTATATATTTGTGTATATATGTGTGTTTGCATATATGTGTGTGTATGTGTATATATGTGTGTATATATTTGTGTATTTTTGTGTTTATATGTGTACATGCATATTGTGTATATGTTTGTATATATTTATGTATATATGTGTGTTTGCATATATATGTGTGTGTGTTTGTGTATATATGTGTGTATATATTTGTGTATTTTTGTGTTTATATGTGTACATGCATATTGTGTATATGTTTGTATATATTTATGTATATATGTGTGTTTGCATATATATGTGTGTGTGTTTGTGTATATATGTGTGTATATATTTGTGTATTTTTGTGTTTATATGTGTACACGCATATTGTGTATATGTGTGTATACATTTGTGTATATATGTGTTTGCTTATATATATGTGGGGTGTGTGTATATATTTGTGTATTTTTGTGTTTATATGTGTACATGCATATTGTGTATATGTGTATACATATATACACAGACATATATATGTATACACATATACACAATATGCATGTACACATATAAACACAAAAATACACAAATATATACACACACATATATATACACACACATATATATACACACACAGACATATCATCCGTAGGGAGACCAAGGTGCTTGTCTATAAAGCTATTGTCCTCCCAACCCTGCTATATGCCTGTGAGACGTGGACTGTCTACAGACGTCACATGCAGCTCCTGGAACGTTTCCATCAGCGCTGCCTCCGGAAAATCCTGCAAATCTCCTGGGAAGACAAGCGGACAAACGTCAGTGTGCTGGAAGAAGCAAAGACCACCAGCATTGAAGCGATGGTCCTCCAACATCAACTCCGCTGGGCCGGCCACGTTGTCCGGATGCCTGACCACCGTCTCCCAAAGCAGTTGCTCTACTCCGAACTTAAGAACGGAAAAAGGAATGTTGGTGGAC